TGAAGGTGCTGGGCCCCGCGGGCGGCTCCCGACATTCTCAGCCTCTCGCAGGCCTTCAATATGGGAAACCTTCTAATGAAAAGAAAACAGAGGTGGTGGAGACCAGCCGGCCGGCCGAGGTAACCCAAGCCAGCGGCCTGGGGCATGAATGGGCCCTTTCATGGGGCGGCCACAGAACGAGGGCCTGGGGTGGAGATCACCGCGTTCGGCCCAAGGAATGGCAGTGCCCGGGGCAGGCCCGGGGCAGGGAGGAGACGGACAGTGGCCTGCAGCCCCGGCCTCGGGGCCTCGGGGCCTCCGGGCCCAGCCTCCTCCCCTTCCCCGTCCTGGGCGCCCCCCTGACACCCAGCCCGGCTACAGGAAAGGAGCCAGCCGTCCCCCGTCCAAATGCCACTGTCGTTGTTTTTCTCCTATAATTATGTCTCCGAGGGCTAACTACAAATTTACATTTTGCTCAGGTCGGTCATTTATCTGGAGCCTGCGAGCAAGGCCCCAGCTGTAAAGGGCGCATTCATGTGTGTTTTTGTGTTGCTCGGGGTGACGGGCCACGGCGCGCGGACACAACTGCCCCTTTTAGCCGGGGCGGCTCTGGGAGCAGCGGCGCCCTCACCGCCTGGCCTGTGTAAACGCCTCCATGCCACTGGCCATGAACGACTTCAGTGTACAGAGGTTTTCTTTTTCCATACCTGGCCACCAGAACATCCAACATTCTTCTAGAAAAAATGTGGCAAGGTCCCTGGGATCGTTTTCTCTCCAAATGGCTGACCCATCCCAGTCTGGCCCTGACACAAGCCAGCTCTTCCACTTAATGACGTGAAAGAAAAATCGTGCTTCCGTTTTCGCCACCTGCTGTGATGGCCCCAACCATAGTTCCCTCTGACTTCCTGGGGGCGAAGGTCAGCGATGAGGCATTCCTCCTGGGTCTTTGAAGAGACATGGCGGGCTGGCGTGGGCCAGCCTGCAGGGGCAAGTTGCCCGGTCTGGGTGCAGAGCCGGCGGGCCTGGGTCTGGGACCAGCCCAGGGAGCGGGTCCCTCTCTGGACGCCAGTGGATGTTCAGGCGGCCCTGGGCCTGGGCACAGGCCGTCCCTGATGTCCCCGCTTGTCCCTGCCAGGCACTGCCAGGAGGCTGCCTCTCCTCCCCGGGGGCCATGCCTGTCACGGACGCCTCCTCAGGGGTGAACACTGAGGCCAGGATAGGAGGGAACACGCTGGGTAGGTGGGTGGGTGACCTGGCCTCAGCTCGGTGTACGTGGGTATAGGCATGTGTTAGGGGAGGTGTGTGTGTTCCTGAGTGTGGGTAGGTGTGTGTTTACACATATGTGAGGAGCATGTGTATGTGGGAGTGTATGTGCGAGTGTGTACACGTTTATGTGAGCGTGTATGTGTACACGTGAGTGTGCCTGTGCATATGTGCACGTGTGTGTGTGTGTGTGTGCGCTTACACCTATTCTTCTGGAACTCAGGATCCCTGAACCAGAGGCCGGGCCTGCTCCCCTGCTTCCCACCCCCCACCCCCCGTGCCTGCAGCGGGGCCAATGCCCAGGAACACTCGTATCTGCGGAGAAGCGAACCAGCAAAGTGCGTACAGCCGCGCAGTACCCTGTGAACGTGTCCCCGACGGCTCCTCTCGCGGCTGAGCCCGCGAGGATTTCCTCCGATCACCCATCTCGCTGGGACCGTGCCCACGCCAGTGAGGGTCCAGAAGTGCTGGGCGGCAGCGCTGCGGGGTCCGGGTCACACCCCAGGCCCGCCTCTTCCTTCCGCCCTGTCCTTGGTTTCCCTGCCCCATCCCCATGGCTGCGTGAGAGCACTAGTGGACAGTACCTCGCATGGTCACCATCAGTGACTCTCCTGCCTGACTTACTTCCCCATCACACTCCCCCAGTTCCCACAGTGGTCGTGACTAACAGCTCGTGGTCAGGACAGCCCGACAGCGACCCCCCCACCCCCTTCTTCCCGGGACCTGCCCCGAGTCTCCCAGCCACAGCCCCACCTCCAGCCCCTCCGTCGGCAGCGGGTGCCCAGCACGTGAGTGTGGGGACGTGCGGAGCCCAGGGCCCCGGCCCTGCAGACACTTTTCACAATGGCCGGGGAAGGTCAGTTCAGAGCCCGCGTCGCCCGGCCCTCTCTGCTTGTCCAGGCCTCGGTCACCAGGGTCCGCCCGGGACACACTTCCATGAAGGGCTGGACCCTCCCTGGCTGCCTGTCGAGCAGAGTGGCTTGAGCAGTGGGCTTTGTGGGCAACACGTGGGCCCGAGCACAGGGCGGGCGGTGGAGAGGCCTTCTCGAGTGGACCCTTGGCACCACGGCCCCACCCTGACGCCCAGGCTGCACACGGGGTGGCAGGAAGCATGGTCCCGCGGCTGCGGCCTGACTCCAAAGAGGCCTCGTGTCCACAGGCTCCGCACATCCCCAGGTGCCCCCCGGTTCCGAGCCTCGGACCCCAGCATGACCACTAGTCCTTGCCCACAGCTCTCTGCCATGTCCTGGCCTCCAGCTGGTCCTGCTTCCCGCCCCTGCCCCTGTGGTACCAGCCTGCACAGAGAGCAGGGGCTTATCTGGGACTCCACCCCAGGGCACCCCCTTCCTCAAGAGGACCTGGAGGGGCTACGGAGCCTCCCGGGGAAAAGCAAACCGCGGCAGGGCAGCCTCGCTCTGGCCTCCTCTGTCACCGCGGGGAGAACCTGGCCCCCGCCCCCGAGCTGTGCTGTCTGCATCGGGGCCACAGGCGGTGGTTTGCGCTCAAATGACATAAACGTAGGAATTCGCGTTCCCGCTGTGCTCGCCCCATTCCCAGTGCTCGGCGGCCACGTGCGGCCGAGGAGCTGGGCCGGAAGCGGGACAGCGCGTCCGCCATCGCAGGAAGAGCCATGGCACCTGCCGGCCAGAAGGTGTGCACGTGGCCGGCCCGACAGGCGTTAGGAAGATCCGAGCAGCGCATCCTAGTCAGCGGCCCGGGTTCCTCTTTCCACTGTATCTTGTAGAATCAGCAAAAAACCAGTCACGCACCTACCAAACCCTTGTGCTTCACCAAACGAAGCCACCGACTCCCCTTTGGGCCCCGTCCCTTCCGACGGCATCGGATGGAAGGGGCGGGAGCAGGGCCAGCCCAGCGCCCAGGGTGACGTCACCAATCAACCCCTCCCCCTAGTCCTTCTCAGCCCCTCCCCCAAGTCCTTCTCAGCCTCCCAGGCAGCCTTTCCACGGAGGGGCGTGGGTATTGGACACCTGCTCACACCTGGGCCGAGGCTGTCACCTGGCCAAGGCCCTCGAAGACCTGACTTGGGCGAGCAGATCACCTGACCGCTGCCCGCGTGGTCCTGGTACCCTGCGCACGCGAGGTCGGTGGGAATGCAGTGGTTCCTGCCCTCCGGGGCGGTCACTGCCAGGCGTTGACTCAGATAAACAGGACTTTCATCACATGTCATGCAGGCTCTGGAACACACGGGGCACCGTGCCCGGCTCACCCTGCACACGGTGAGCCCGCACAACTCCCAGGGCTCGAGTGCGGCGGCTCCAGCTCAGCGGCACCCCAGGCCCGGCACAGCCCCACATGGTGTTTGCTACCGAGAGTCTAGCTGTTCAGGGTTGCCAAGGTGGGTCAGTGTCGTGATGGAACAACTCATTGCAAAACATCCAGGACATCATTGGGGGGGGGGGGTTTCTAAAACACGGACTCTGTCGTGTCACGCCCCTGCTCAGAGGCCGCTCATGGCTCCCTAGGACAACACGCACCCTCAGCTGTAGACTCAAGGCCTTTGGCCGCCCGGGCCAAGTGCCTCCCGGTCTCAGTGCCTTCCCTCCTCTCTGCCTTTCCCACCCCAACTCAGGCCACACTGAGCTGCTACACGTCACCCTAAATACCCCTCCGCCTCCCCCACCTCACTCTGCATTTCCTCACCTCCTGCCAAAACTTTGCCAGCCCAGCAAACTCTCATTGATCCTCCAAGGCGCACACAAGAAGTCCCCTCCTCTATGAAGCCTTCTTGTAGACCCTTAGATTGTGGCACGCACGCACCACACTGCACACCGGTCCCGCCTCGGGGCCTGAGTCATGTTCGTACGCCTCACTCCTCAGCTCCAAACGTCCACAATGGTCTAATTCTGTCCTTTCATTCTTCGCCACACAGTCGTCCCTCAGTCTGGGATGCTCTCTTCTCTGTCACTTGAAGCCCCTTCCCTCTTTTAAAGCTGTTCAGGATGTACCCCACCCTCTCCAGGAAGCCATCTGCGCTCAACACAGTGGGACCGCGTGACATGGGCAACTGCACAGAGCATCCATTGATGGCAGTGCCAGAAAGACACGGGGGGATGGTCTGGTCCAGCCTCTTCATTTTACAGGTGAAGAAACAGAGGCCCAGAGAGGGAGAGACAGCTGGGGCCCGGCCGGAGAGGGAACAGCTCTCCCGGGGCTTCAGGCTCTGCACTGAGCCCAGAGGAGCCCCCTGCACGGCCTCTCCCCAACCCCCAGGCGGGGCTGCAAGGCTGGCAGGCCCTGTCCTGCTCTGCTCGCCCTCCAGGCGTCTGTGCTTCATTTTACTGCCCCCAAACCTCCTTACACATGCCCAGCGCCACCGTGAGACACCTCCACGATCTCTGCACCAGGCAAACTGTGACCGTGGGCAGCCCTGCCGCTCACCAGCCGTGGGATTTCAGACACCTGCCATTTTCTGAGCCCCAGGTTTCTCCTTCGAAGATGGGGATAACACATATTGGCTGTCAGGATGATTCAAGGAAATGATGTTTGTGAAGTGCTTAAGAAAGAGCCTGACACAGAGCCAGTGGACTGCTACCATCATTGTGATGTGATGGTGACGCTGCTGTGGTACTGGGGATACTGGTAATGATGATGGTGGTGACGGCGGTGACGCTGGCGGTGGTGGGGATACTGGTAATGATGATGGTGGTGACGGCGGTGACGCTGGCGGTGGTGGGGATACTGGTAATGATGGTGGTGACGGTGGTGACGCTGGCGGTGGTGGGGATACTGGTAATGATGGTGGTGACGGTGGTGACGCTGGTGGTGGTGGGGATACTGGTAATGATGATAAAGATAACGGTGATGGTGGTGGTGATGTTTTCACGACCTCCAATTCTCTCCTTCAGGGAACGCTCCTGTTTTCTGCCTCCCCTGCTGTGACACAGAACTTCACAGATGTGATGATCTCTGGGTGGGTGGCGGGTACGGGACTGTGGGTGAGAGGAGAGCTCTCAAAGGCAGGAACAGACCCGTGTCCTGAATGATGTCAGCTACATCACCTCGCCTCCTGGCCTCCGGTTTCTCCATCTGTGAAACAGTGAGGTTGAACGGGGTGATTCCTAAAGGGTCCTTCTGGGTTTAAGGTTTTCTGACGCGGTTTTTGTTTTACAGCAAGTGGTTTTGCAAGGATCCCTCTTCCTCCTTCAGATATTTATCTTTTCTGCCATCGTTTCAACAAAGCCTGTCTTGGTGGTGCCTTTACCTGGACATCCAGCAACAAGCAGGCATTTGACATGCAGAGATACATACACACAGGGTTACTTCTGTGTGTGAGAGAGCGTGTGTGTGTGTGTGAGTGCACGCACACCCAGCAGACCCCCGACATCCCAGAATGCAGACATCAATGCCTCCAAGACCCACAAATTCAGCACAGCTAAGTCACTGACTTCACGGAGAACAAACAATCAAGCTCCAGCGCGGCTCCTGGGTGGCTGGCTAGGTTCATCCCCAGCGCGGCTCCTGGGTGGCTGGCTAGGTTCATCCAAAGTTACGTATCCCGGGGAGGGCGGGGACAGGAGCACCGCACCCCCAAGGCCACACCCACTCCAGTGCACCTGTGAATGCCAGTCGCTGGAGAGACGTGACTTTCCAGCACAGACCTAGGGGACTGGACCGGAGCTCTGCTTCCAGGAAGCGTGGCTGGAGACCTTGAGCGAGTCACCTCTCTGCGTGGAGCTCAGGTCCCCTCCTGCTCCCTGCGGGGATGGTCGGTCCTGCCCGGCCTCTCTCGAGATTATCGTGAGGACTGAACCGCTGGACATGCACCAAACCCTCCGTGCACTGTCGGGTCCCGTGTGAGCATGGGGCGGATTTTCCAGGCGTGTGGCTGCACGCATTTTAGGATAAGTGAGCACCTGCGACCCCAGACCTCCTCCCAGGGCTGTGCCAGGGATGCAGGATGTCATGCTGCTCAGTGCCCAGCTCACAGCAAGAGCTTCGAAAACTAATCTCCTTCTCCCCCTTCCACTCCCTCTTCCTCTCCCCCTCCCTCTTCATTATAATCATTATTACTAATTGTTATTCTACACAAAGCAAAGACACGCTTTAGTTAGAAAACACGGAAAGGGACCAGTGATGTCTTCAAATGGACACCACCAGCTCTTAGCTCGCTCCAGAGCAGACGCTTCTAAAACAGCCTACAGGTGGTGGGGGGGTCTGAGGCCCCCGCCGGCACCGTCCTTGCTGTACTGGGGCTGAGGGGCTACGGCTGCCGTGTGGCTGTCCCCTAGGGAAGCTTGTCTAGTCCCCGTCCTGTCTTCCTGTGGCCAGGGCCTCCTGTGAGCTGCCTGCTGAAGGGGTATGTGGGCAGGGGCTGAGCAGAGGGTACGGGGCCCGAGAACATGCAGAGTGTCCCTCTGTCCCAGGGCAGCCCGGGGCAGGACACAGGGGACATTATGCTGGGCTGGCTCCGCCCCAGGCAATGGTTTTGTTTTGTTTTGTTTTAAGCAGGAGACTAAATGTTTGAACATATGCAGACACGCGTGATGGAGGGGCCGCAGGACCTGGGAGCTGGAAGCCGGGGGCACCGGGATGAGCAGGTGAGCACTCAGCGTCTCGCTGGGCTGAACTGTGCCCCGGCGGCCGCGGAGATGGGCCTCAGGGCTGTCTGAGCGTCTGAGGACTGGCTCACAGAGTGGATGTGGGTTGAAGGTTGTGGGGTTTGGAGGGACATGATGGGAAGGGCCTTTGCTGCAGCTGCTCCAGTCCTGGCTCTGAGGCATCTTAGCTGTGCCCCCCACGAGCCACCCTGTCTCCAGGGACAAAGGAGTGAGCGGTACAGGAGGGCTTCAGGCGGCGGTGACAGTGCGCTGTACAGCTGACCATCTAGCTTAGGTGGCCTGGGGCACGTTCTGAACCCCCTGGACCTAGTTCCCTCCTCGGGGTGACCATCCCCATCTCTGGAGGAGGGCTGGACACACGGGTTACAGCAGCGGAGGGCTGGGCTCTGCAGACACGTGGGGACACCGGCCCTCTGCCTGGGACACAGCCCAGGAGACAGATGTCATCCCTGGAGGGGGTGGAGACCCGGGAGGGGTGCGTCCCGAGGTGCTCAGCCTGCGGTCACCTGAGAGCTGGGGTCTCAGGTCCCCTCTCTGAATCCTTCTCGAACCCGACAGAGCCCCGCTCGGAGCAGCTCGTAAGAGATCTCTGCAGGGAGACGCCTCTTTCATTCACCAAGAGAAAAGCAAAGTGTAGCGGAGTGAGCTGTGTCCCCCTAAAAGATATGCTCAAGTTCTCACTACCATTGCCTGTGAATGGGCCTTATTTGGAAACAGGGTCTTTGCAGATGTCATCAACTTAAGATGAGATCATGCTGGACTAGGGTGGTGATTCCAATAGCTGGGGTCTTTATGAAAAGAGGGGGATTTGGACAGACTCAGGAAAAAGGGCCATGTGATCGTGGAGCCCCCTGGAGCTGGAGGAGGCAGGAGGGACCCCCCAGAGCCTCTGGAGTGAGCATGGCCGCACGACACCTGGATCTGGGGCATCTGGCCCCAGAACTGTGAGAGGATACATGTCTGTTGCTTTAACCCACCTGGTCTGTGGTGATTTGTTATGGCTGCCCTGGAAAACGCAGGCACCACCCGGGGAACCAAGAAACAGGCGGCTTGAGGAAGAAATACCACGGCCGATGCACAGGACACGCTGCTTCCGTGAAGCGTGGACACGTCAGTGATGTGACACTGTGCTGTTTTTCTTCAGCAAATTGTCAAAGATTTAAAACACATAGACTCTGCGAGTCTGGCCAGGGCATGCGACAAGGATAACTCACAGGGCTGTTTCCCAGAGCCTTCTTGCCTTTCGTGAGTTCATCCTGGAAGCAGTCAGACCAGGTGAGGTGTGTCCTCCCCCCACCTCGTGATGTCTAAGGTGGACGTGATCTACATAAAAGCCGCGATAGAGCCTGACGCCAGAAAGCACTGGAATCCCGCGTCCGCTGCCCAGGAAACTGTTCCTTCTGTGTCAGCGTGAAAAGCCACTTACAAGAGATGTCGGTGCTAATTTTATGAAAAAGCAACGAGACCTGTGTGCTCGGGGCACGGGAGCCTGCCGAGTCAGCAGTGGGCACTCCCTGGGTTGCAGAGTCAAGCGGAATTTTGAAATTTCCCTGTTTGCGTTTTGCTGTAGTTTCCAAACTTTGTGTAAAAAACAGGTATTATGTTTGAAACAGGAAAACAATGCAATTAAAAGCAGTGGTCTTGGCCCAAGAGCTCAAAGCCACCGCCTGCTGGCCTGCTGGGGCTCAAGTTGGTGGCGGGGGCGGGGGTGTCCCCGGGGCGGGACCGGACGGAGCAGACAGCTGTGGTTTCTGAGGCCGCGGCGGGGGCAGCTTGTTGTGACTGTTCTGAAGTCCCTGAGGCTCGGGTCGATGGTCCGGCGGTGGCTTCCGTGACTGCGCAGCCCTCACCGCCCCCCCCCCAGCCCTGTGACAGCCTGCTTTGTCATCTGAGAGACGGGGTGGTGGGACAGTGTCACCCCATGGAACTGTCACGAGAATGCCCATGTGCTCTGGGAGCGCTATGTGAACTGAGCACCCTGCCACCAGATGAGGGGCTGGGCCCAGAGATGCCAAGTGATTCACCTCAGGTCACACAGCAATGGGCTGTGGGCCAACATTAAACCCTACTTTGTCCGACCTCAATTCCCACGTTCTTTCCACATGGAGAAGTGGGAGAGGAGGCCTCACAGGTCCAGGTGTGGATGGGCGGCCCCCTGGACCTGCTGCACCGACCTCAGGCTGATTTGGAGCACCCACAAGGACCAGCTCGGCCCTGCCTACAGGCCGACGGCATGGAGGGGCCCAGGGAAGAAGCAAGCAGGCCTGATCCCAAGGGCTGGATCTGCACGTCATTTGCATGCCAGACTGGACGTGGTCCCCCGACGGTGGGTGCAGGGCATGGCCTGGGAGGTGGGCTCCTGTGTGAAACGGCCAGGGAGGGACTCCTGAGGTCAGCTGACGTGCGGCCAGAGCCTGTGTGGGGCTCAGTGTCACCGGCTCAGTGTTGGCTCCTGGACACTTGTTACCAGCCTGGGGTCAGCCGGACTGGGTCCTCCTGGAGGAAGTGCCACTGAGGCCAGGGGGGCAGGGTGACTTGTCTGAGGGTGCCCAGCAGGAAGTGGCCCCTGCTCCAGGACAGACCGTGGGGCTGGACCTACCTCCAGGGAGGGCTTATTCCCCGGAGGGGGAGGGGGAGTCCCTGGCCAGAGAGTTCCCTGAGGCTGGGCCACTCCCCACTCCCCTCAGAGGAGGAGAACGATGGGGCCAGGCCCTCAGGTTCAACAAGGAGCACAGCCACCGCAGAGGCCACGCTCCCCGGGCCACACGCTCCCCGGGCTGCTCCCAGCCAACGACCAAGCTCCATCCCCGGAGAAGCAGGGCCTGACGGCATCACAAAGCCTTCAAAGGCGATGGCAGAGCCGTCAGGCCTCTGAGACCCGGCAGGGGACCCTGCTTTGTCTGCTGCTGGAGCGGGGCTGCGTCCATCCCCGGGGGAGCCCTCCAGAGACTCGCAAGCACGCACGGTCGTCGTCTCCACCGTCCTCCCCTCTCCTCGGTCCATCAAGGCCGTCATGGGCTCCGGAGACCGACCCAGAGGCCCGGCCATCTGTCCGAAGGCCCAGGCCCTCGACGCCAAACCCCCTTCCTGGAGCAGAGGCGGGGTGAGCGCACAGGCCTGCCTGTGTTTGATACAAGCGCTGGATTGTTCTCTCTGCCCTTGTCGGCTATTATGCGGAGGCCAGTCCTAAAATAATATCACATTTCCTCTCTCATCATTTGGACGGAGGATGCGCATCCGGGATCGAGCTGGATGGCGTGCTTTCATGTGCAGGCACCGGGGGCTTCCGTGCCACCGCCCAGGGGCTCTGTGCCGGCCGCGTCCCCCGAGTCCCCAGCGTGGGAGCTGCTCTGACGGGGGCACTGCTTCTGTTTTTTCATAAATACGTCTCTCGGAAAGTTGGTCTCTTCACCGGAGTGTTCAGCATTCCAGACGGGGCCCTGGACCCCAGGGGCCGGAGCCAGTGACCGGCTGGTGACGGAAGGCAGGTCTGGCTCGAGAAGGCGCCCCTGGGGGATGGTGGTGCCTGGCACGTGCTAGGTAGTCAGCACACACTCGGGGGGACGCCAGCACAGGGAGCCCTCGCACAGGCAGCCTCCTCTCTGCAGCCACGGTCGCTTTGCTTTGCCTTCTAAGTGCGTGCTTTAGTTTATCACAGCGCCTGGGATGTGTGCTTCCTTCTGAGAGCCTCAGGGCCTCCCTGTGTTCCTTGCCGTGGCAAGTGTTCCGGTGCCCTCAGCGCGAGGGAAGTGGGCGGAGGCCGCTCCTCGTGGGCCTCCTGGGGGAGGGTGAAGCCCAGGCTTCCGCGCCACTCAGACCGCTTTCAAATCCCAGCCCGTCACTAGTTCTGGTACCTTGGGCTTCAGCTCTCCTGGTGAAGCAGTTTCAAAGGCAGGACCTGGGATGGAGACCCAGCCGTTTGCTCCCGTTGCTAGAATCACTGTGATGGGGCAGCTGCACCTGCAGGAAGAGGGGGGCTTAGTGCCCAGAGCAGCACTGCCCACGAGGTGTCCCAGGGGAGCACGGACTCCTGGTTAGCCGCCAGAAAGCAGAATTAGCACCTCCTCGGATTCAATTAGCGGTTGTGTTCCTGGAAAGGTCGGTGCCTTAAGATCACGCACATTGTGATGGAAGGAGAACAGGAGCCAGATGAGGAGACGCCCGCAGGATGCTCCAAAGGCAGGGGGTCCTGTGACACTTCCTCGCGTGGGCTGGCCTGTGCGTGGCTGAACGTGGAAGAGCCCGGCCCCAGGGCCAGCAGTGCCCTCCGGGCCTTGGCAACCACGGTGCTCCAGCGGTATGGTTCCACTGTCTCTGAGAACCCCTGGCTTCGGCTTCCCGTGCAGGCCCCCCAAACCCTGCCAGGCCCTGGCTGGCGCCTGGAGACCCCCATTACGATGTTCCTTTAGCTGGTGCTCCAGTGGGAAACAAGCAGCCTCGTAGTTGGGACTGTGGTCATGCCGCTGGGGACCACGGAGACCTCGGCAAGGGTGACTGGAGAAGGCGCCCACCCTCTGCCCCACTGGCCACCCCTGGGACACAGAAGTCCGCTTTGTGAAACTCCCAAACCAAACGGGGACACGTGAGGGCCAGTTTAGGTGGGCTGAGGTCGCAGGTAAGACACATTTTCATTCTGAAAGAATGACAGCAGCTCCCGCAGTTTGGGGGACCCCCAAGTGGTGCCTCCATTCCTCCCCCCGTCCCCCACAAACCTCCCTTGAGAGTTGAACACTGTCACTGGGGTGTCGGCCGTTCGGTGTGTCCTTCTGAATTGTCACAGCCCCTCTGAGGTCTATGAGCCCCAGGCAGAGACAGTCCCGTGTGGTCTGCAGGGGCCGAGGGCCCCAAGCAAAGGAGAGTTTGCTTTCACTCTGAGCACAAAACCCCAGTGATGGTTCCTACTTGAGTGCAAAAAGGCCAGGCAAGCCTGGGACAACTTCAGCAACAAAATTAATAATGACAGTCACGGAGTAATAACCAGGAATTACAGTAATAATGACAGTAATAACCAATAGAATAAAACAATGTCCGTGAGCCCATAATGGTTCAGAGCATTGCTTCAGTCCCTGCGTGCGGGAGGGCAGACCTCGTCCAGCACAGCCCGGGTAGTCGGTGCAGGGGAGTGTTCATGCCTCAAACGTGGCAGGACGAGCCGCCACGACAAGGACCATCGACGGATGCTAAAATCAGCACACCAGAGCTCCACGGGAAAGAGGATGTTTACATAGTCACATAAGACGCTCCATAATTACAAGGAGAAAAGGAGTAGCTTACAGCGCAGCCACGCGGTACCACTTAACCAAGTGATGGACGTTACCACGGCTGGGAGTGGGACCCAGAGGCACAGGTGACCCCAGGCTCACGCTCCAAGAAGGACACGACGTCACTTCTGTGGGATTCCCGCCAAAATACACAACCACTGTGTCATGGTGAAAAATGTCACACAAATGCAAACTGAGGTACGTTTTCAAAATAACTGGCCAGTACTCCCTTTCCAAAAGTGTCAAGGTCACGGGCGACTGAGGAACGATCCCGGATGGGAAGAGACTAAGGGGCCACGACCAACCAATGCCGTGTGGGACCCTGGCTGGACCCTCAACCAGAGAAAGGAGGTCACGGGTCAGCTGGTGAGGTTCCGCTGTGGCTGGAGGGTGATGGATTGCCGTGAATCAACATGAATTGTCCCGCTCTACGTCGCAAGCCAGTATCAGGAGAGCCCGGGGGAGGTATCCGAACTCTGTGCTAGTTTTGCAGTTAAAATGGTTTCAAAATAAATAAGTGAACGAGAAGGCCAGGGTCAAACACCTCATAGCCTCTGGCTGGAAACTCCTAGGTCTTCCGGAGCATGGCTCTGGCTCCTGCATGGATGCCTCCACCGTCCCGGCCACGGCCTCTGAATGGACTCCAGGTGGCAACATCTGTCCTCAAGGCAGTGTAGACACGGGGGGACTGGGGCCAGGGGGCGGAGAGCTGACCTCCCCCATCCCCAGCCCTCTGTGATTCTCTTACTGGAGCAGCTCCGGTAAACTTGTAAATAGGATGAGTCCCTGCCCCAGCCCCCGCCCCTAGCCCTAACCCTCTCCCCCTGGGGCCCCTGGGGAAAGGCCCTGTGGAGAGCGGAATAATGAATCCCAAAGACGTCCACACGCTGACCCAGAGCCCGTGAATGTTACCCTGCACGGCAGAGTCCCTGTGCAGAGGTGGATAAGTTAACGACCCTGAGATGGGAGATGACCCCTGTCACCACGAGGGTCCAGGTAAGAGGGAGACAGGACGGTCTGAGTCCGTGAGAGGTCTGAAGACTCTACAGGGCTGGTTTGGAAGGTAGGGGAAGGGGCCAAGAGCTGAGAAACGCAGGTTCCTCCAGAAGCTGGAACAGGCAGGAGACAGACTCACTCCTGGAGCCTCGAGGGCGTGTCGTTCTGCCGACACCTTGATTTTAGCCCAGTGAAATTTCTGACCTCCAAAACAGTAAGGTAAGAAACGCGTGGGGCTTGAAGCCACTCATTTTGTGGTCACTTGTTGTGGCAGCCACAGGACACGCGTGCACTGAGTGAGGCGGTAGTGATGACAATGAATTAGGTCATCTTGAGTGTAAACCATGTGCCCAGCTGTTGTGCTTTATACACGGTAGCACCTGAATCCCCACAAGAGTGCCCAGATAGTCGGATCTGTCCCCACCCCAGAGATACGGCAGCCTGGGAGTAGCGACGTAAAGTCAGCGCCCATGGTGACCAGATGCAGGCAGAATAGGGGGGAGATGGGATTTGGACCAGGAACCTGAATGCTCTCCTTCTGATGACTTGTGAGATGGCACCCCCTCTGCTCTGATAAGTCAAATGGGACCCTCGGTCCCCCTCACTTGCCCCCATCGCAGCTCCTGTTTGCCAAGGATGGTGGAGGACATTCATGACCGAGCTCAGCCCCCAGGCCAATCCAGTCCCAGGGAGTTGACTTCTCACGGCCAGGACCCTCTGGTGGCAAGTGACAGAAAACCTGGCCCACATGGACCAAAGCTAGAAAGGGAGTGTTTGGCTCACGTACGGGAAAGACCAGTGGCAGCCCTGGCCCCCTGCTGGCTGCTTTCTCCCATGGGGCAGCCTCAAGCCATCCTGGTCCAGCAGCAAATGGTCCCTCCTGACAGCCCAGAGTACGTGGTCACAGCCTCTGGAGGGCCACAGTGGCCGGGGGACGGATGCTCTGATCCCTGGAGCTGTGGATGGAGACAACACCGGCCTGAAGCCCAGCAGGTAGGGAGAGTGACATAAACCAGAGAAGGAGGGAGACAATGTTGAGGGTTAAAAACTCAGCAAATACAGCACCTCGGCCTAGCTTCCACTCTGCAGGTAAAAGAAGTGGAGTCTGGATCTGCCTGAGATTACGTGGCAAATACTCAGCAGGGCTGGGACTCTGCTCAGAGATTCCCAACAGTGCCATTTGAGTGTCTCCACATACAACTGGAAAATGAAATTTAGAACTCAATACCATCTGAAACATCACAAAACAGCAACTACCTAGGAATAAACTCATGAAAGATATGCCAAACCTTTGAGCAGAAAAACTGCATCACATCACTGAGGGAAGTTTATTTGAGAACCGAATAAATGCAGGGATACACCACATCCACGGATTGGGAGACTCAATGGTTTAAAGATGCCAGTTCATCCCAAACTGATCTATGGATTCAATGCAATTCCATTCAAAGTCCCAGTAGCTTTTTTGGAGTCAATAGGCGAATCCTAAAATTTATGGGGAAACGTAAAGGAACAAATATAATGGAGTCTAGAGTTTCTAAAACATGTCACTCACAGCGTCTGGGATACAATCCAAAACAAACAAGAAAATGTGACTCTTTCTCAAGGCAACCAACAGAGGCCAACCCTGATGTGACCCAGACGTTAGACTCAGTAGACAAGGATTTTAAAGCATCTATTTCATTAGGCTCAAGGATGTAAAGGAAATTATGTTTGTAATAAGTGAAAAGACAGGAAACCTCAACAGAAAAAATAGAAACTATAAAAAGGAAACAAACAGAAATTCTAGAACTAAAAAAATACAATGTGTGAAATCAAAAAAAGTCACTAGATGGGCTAGATGGCAGAATGCAGATGACAGAGGAAAAAAATCAGTGATCTTGAACACAGATGAATAGAAATTATTTAATTTGAAAGCAGAGAGATAAAGATTGAAATTAAAATTCACAGAGACTCAAGAGACATACAGGACAATATCAAAAGGTCCACTGTACGTGTACTTGAAGTTGCAGAGGAGAGGAAGGTAAGAATGGGGCAAAAATATTATTTGGATAAACAACAGCTGAAAATTTCCCCAATTTGGTGAAAGACATAGATTCACAGATTTAGGAAACTCATCGGATCCCAAGCAAGAGAAATACAATGAAAACTACACTTAGGTTTGTCACAAACGTCTGCAAACCAAGGATAAAAAGAGAATCTTGACAGTAACCAAAGATAAGTGGCACCAAAAAGCCAGGGGAATAATGACCCAAATTACCACTGAATCCTCACTAAAATCAATAGGAGCCAGAAGCCAGTAGAACATCTTAAGTTCTAAAGTTAAAATTAAAAACTGTCAAGCCAGACTTTTGTCTCCAGCAAAAATATCCTTCAAGAATGAAGGTGAAATGAAGATATTTTCGCTAGGAGGATTCGTCAGAAGCCATATTATGAGAAATACTAAGTTCTTAAGGCTGAAGGGAAATGATACCAGACAGAAGTTCGGATCTTCTGGAAGGAAAGAAGAGCCGCTGAAATGGTAAGCAGGTGGGTGGACTGTTGTGAGGAAGAGGCAGCAAAGCTCCTTCCGGATGCCTGCACCGTGTGCAGAAGCCAGGGGTCTTCAAGTGATCCTTAAGCTTACACGACCCCAAGGATCATCTTACCAGGATTTTTGTGAGAAACGGACAGGCTGATTCTAAAGTTGACATGAGAACGTAAAGGACCAAGAATAGCCAAAGCAACGTTGGAAAAATAAGAACGAAGTTGAAGAACTAATACTAGTTGAATTCAAGACTTATTCTAAAGCTACGGGAACTAGCCAGTAGGGTACTGACACAACAGTCAAGAAATAGATCAACAGAACAGAACCAACAGTTCAGAGATAGACCCACACTTAGTCATCTGATTTTCAACAAAAGTGCCAAGGCGATCCAAGGAGAGGCTTCTCAGCAAATGGTGCTGGCACAGCTGGGTGTCTACACACCCAAATTCATTCAAGATGGACCACAGATCTGAGAGTAAAGATGAAAACTATAATGCTTTAAAATAAAATTTAGACGAATATCTTCACAGCTTGGGGATTGGCAAAAGTTTCTCAGGACATAAAAAGCAGTACCATATACTAAAAATATTTATAAATTAGATTTCAACAAAATGAAAAACTAGTGCTCATCAAAAGTCATCATGCAGGGCTTCCCTGGTGGCGCAGTGGTTGAGAGTCCGCCTGCCGATGCAGGGGACACGGGTTCATGCCCCGGTCCGGGAGGATCCCACATGCTGCGGAGCGGCTGGGCCCGTGAGCCATGGCCGCTGAGCCTGCACGTCCAGAGCCTGTGCTCCGCGACGGGAGAGGCCACAACAGTGAGAGGCCCGCGTACCGCAAAAAAAAAAAAAAAAAAAAAAAATCCATCATGCAGAAAATGAATAGGCAAGCCACAGACTGGGAGGAAACATATGCAAAGCATATACCTGACAAAGGATTAGCATCCAGCGTATATAAAGAACCAGAACAAAAATTTTTTAAATGGGCAATTTGAACATTGAAACCTTCACAAAGGAAGATATACAAATAGTCAATAAGCATATGAAAAGGTGCCAACATTATCAGCCAACAGGTAAATGCAAACTCACTCTGATTCACTTTCTGGATTTTTCCCATCACAGATCAGTTTTGCTTGTTCTAGCCCTTTTGTTTTTGAAACTCTACAATTTTTTACTCAACAATGTACACTTATTGTCTCTTAATTTGATGTTCTAGCCCTTTATATAAACGGAATCATGTAGTGAGTTCTCCCTCTGGGGGTGCTGCTGGGGCCATGGGTTGCCTGGGAAGGGTCACGAGGGCATTTCTGGGGTTCAGTATCTTGACACATTTTGGCTTACGTTTGCTGGGACTTTTGAATAGCATCCTTAAGATCTGTGCATTTCACTACATGTAAATGTACCTGAAAAGAAAACCCAGACCATACACAAATATTGACCCTTAGTTAATGATGCACGTGTTCGAGTATTTTTGGCAATGCGTACTAATGTCTGCAACTTATTTTGAAATGCATCAAAAAAAAAAAAAGATGCATGGATGGGTCAATAGATGCACAGAGATATGCTAAAACAATTATATTCAGAGTTAACTGTAGGATCCGGGTGGTGGGTATGTGGGTGGTCACTGTAGCATTCTTTCAAGCTTTATGGTTGAACATTTTCATGATCAAATGTTGGAGAAAAACAAAGAAAATGCAAAACAGAGTTTGAGAATATATTTGCAGCACTTTTTTTCTGGAGCTGGTATCTAGAAAATATTTTAAAATACTTCTAAAATCAATAAGAAAAAGACAACAGCATCTTAGATAAGTGGGCAAAAATTTGGGCAGGTACTTCATAAAAGAGGATATCTCAATGGACAACAAGTTTTGGAGAAGTTCTCAAGGTCCTTAGTCAACACTGAAATGAAACACAAGATGTTCCTTTGCACACACAAACCACAATGACTAAACTGGAAAAAAAAAAAAAGCAAACAAGAAAACGAACCATAAGAACAGACCATACCCAATGTTGGCTGGGAGACAGAGCCCCTGGAATGCTCACGTGTGGCTGGTGGAGTGTAACTTGCTACCAACACTCTGAACATGTGTTTGGTGGCCGAGCATATGCCCGTTCAATGACCCAGCGGTTCTACTTCTGGGGACAGTCCCGACGGAAATGGCTGCACCCACGTGCACACAGGCATATTCAAGAATGTGCATCACAGTGCAAGCTGTAATCGCCCTGTGCTGGAAACAACGCAAATCTCCACCAACAGCAGAATCGCTACTAAAACGCGGTACCTTAACACAACGGAACGTGACACACCCCAACATGTGGGTGAACCTCAGAGACACAAGTTGGCTAAAAAAAAAGGCCAGACACAAAAGAGTACGTTCTGAATGACGTCACGTACGTAAAATTCACCATCGTGGGCCTGCCCTCTGGTGATGGAGGGCAGATGGTGGGTACTAGTGGGTGCCTTTGGGGTCCTGGCTGGGAAGGACTCTGGGTACTGGAATGTCTGGATCTCAGTGGCCGTTACATGGGTGGATGGTTTCACTCTCTCTATGTTCCAGTTGTGTAGCCTTCTGTATACAAGTGATCCTACAGTGCCCTGCAGGAAACACGCACCAGCCTACAGAGTGCTCACTTAGTGGGGTTTTGCTGGAGGCGGCTCCCCGGAGGCCAGGTGGGAAGGCCAGCCCTGCCCTGGTGCGTGGGCCTTCCAGCTGGTGGGGTCCGGGGGTCAGGGGTCTGAGGACCTGGGCACTGGGGAGACCAGGCCTGTTCTGTTTGCTTAGCTGGGCCTCCTCCCAATGCCCCCTTCCATTCCTCCTGGACTGATGTCAGCCACTGCGACCGGGGCAGGGCTGGGGGCGCTCGGAGGAGGTGGCCCCTTGCGCAGCGCAGCCTGCGTGATGGTCCCACACTGCAGGAGGCTGGAGGGCGGGGCCTCAGCCTGCCCAGACCCCGTGCGTACACGTGATGCCTCCCTCCCAACCCCCCGCCCTGCAGTTTCCTCCTGGGCTAAAAATGAACGTTTGGGGCAGAGTCTGCGCCCCGAGCAGCCCGAGGGGGTGAGGAAGGCGGCGGGGAGGGGAGCAGCTTCTTGTTTCCGCCCATCTGCTCCCACCCACGCTGGGTCCTCACCACCCGCTCCGCCAGTCTCCCTGTAAACACCTCCCGCCTGAGCCACTCGCTTAGTAACTAACACAGCGTGGGAAACGTTTAAAGCACGTTTTTTTCATCACATGAGCAACAAAAGGGTGCGTTGACTCACGATCGCCCACAAATGTGGATGGGAAGTAAATAACTCGCATGGGCTGGAAACAGAGTTGGTGTAGTTTAAGCCGAGCTGTGGCTAACCCGAACCAAACGTGCGGCTTCTTCACCGGCTCAGCTGCCGCGCGGGGTCAGCCCCGAGGCCCCAGGCAGGAAGGGGCTCCAGGACCCCCGGCGACGGCAGCAGGTCCTCCTCTGGGGGTCTGGGAAGCTCCTCACAGCCCCTGAGGTGGGGTCACCGTGCCCACTTTCCAGGTGAGAATACTGAGGCCACGGGACCGCCTAAGGGGGTAGCAAGTGGGGAGCAGCATGTAAACCCACCTTTGAGTTTCATGCTGTCACTCCAGGCTCACTTTTTGTCCCCCAAGTAGCACAAAGCTGTCCCCGATGCCCCTCACACTGACCTGGGGACATACCCCAGCCTTCCCCAGCCCCCCCCCCCCACCTCCCAGGAGAGGGCAGCCTGGGAACTCTGTCCACGCAGAAGCAGCCCAGCCCGGCTGCTGGGGGCTCTGCGGGGAGCCGGCTGGGCGCCCGCCACGTGCCGGGGGCGCGGTGCTGACAGCAACCCTAACCCCACTTCCATTTCACAGCGGAGGGAACCAAGCTTCCGGAAGGTTCTCTGGTGCTTGCTCAAGGCTGCACCGCTGGCAAGAGGGGTAGAGATTCAGCACAGATCGCCAAGCCCTGGCCTGGAGCTTCTCACCCGTCTCCACCGAGCTGGATGTGGCTCCTGCAGACGGGAATCTGCCCGGCTGTCCCGGGCTCCGCTCGCTGCCCGTCGCAGGGCCACCAGGAGGCTGGCGGCTCCCTTCCACCGTCTTGCCTCCTTCATTCACCCCCCACTCCCTGACTTGGCCCTCCGGAAAATTCTGATCCAGATCCACTAGCAGCTCGTAGTAAAACGATGATGATGACAAAAATAACGGTGTGCACACACACAT